GGGGGAAGGCAACATGCATATAAGATCTGTGTGGCGTTTATTTATTTTAATCCTCTGCGTTTAATAGCTCGTGATGAACAATGTGTGTTCCATATGTGTATAGTCGAGGTGAGGTTAAGGTCACAGCATGGTACTAGATGTACTTTCACACCGACCGTTCAGGTACACTGGACCCTCTGCTCTCCTACGTCACTTCCTATTGTGTGCGTCTGCAGGGCTGTTGTAGTGACAGTCAGAGACGGAGGGCTTCCATGCTAAGCAAACGACTAACCCTATTAAAACTGTTCAAAAAGGCGGCTTTGAGCTTCCCCCCTTATCCCGGAACTCTTTATTCTCGCGTTTAGCGTTACTAGCCACCAGTTTTTCAGCCCGGTGGACTTTATTCGCTGGTCTGCTTGCGTGTGCTTCGGTAAACCACCGCCGCAGCGACTGACCAAGCACGCCGCTGCTGCCGCTGGGGAAGAAGAAAACAAGCTTGGTGAGCACTCCGTTAAGCTGTGTGATCATTGACAGAGTTCAATACACACGAGCTTCGAGCGAGAAGTGGTGTCAGCGTCGTGCCGCGTAGGTCTTAAGGCAGTTTCAAGAGGCGACGGCAGGGAATATTTTCGTCTCCGAAGTCGAGGTAAGAATAGCCGGAGTAATGAAAACTAGCGCAGGTGGCTAACTGACATGCTAACTAGATGTTAGCTTGAAATATATTTTGGCTAGCTGCCTTGTTGGATCGTAATGCGCTCGTGGTCAGTGTCCTCAATGCTGTCCCGAGCGCCACTTGCCCCAGTTGCCCGTGTTCGAAGCGTAGTAATCGTTTATTATTCTCACTCGACGACAGGAAAGCCTTGTACTTGGGGGAAGTAATGTTTGTTGACTTTGACTGGGCTCGCTACCACACTAACGAAGTGGATGTGTTTACCTTACAGTAACACAGTAGGTTGCTTGTGGTCGAGCTCGGTACACAACGCAATGTTCGACCACCGAAAAAATCAATTATTTACCGTGAGCACGTAGCTTCTAAACGTTTGTGTGTTATCGTTGGTCTTTATTGCGTTTTTCTAGAGGAGCTAAATATAGGTTTAAAAAAAAAAGCAACAACTTTAAAGCTCGGTCGGAGCAGTTGCTCCTTCGCCGTCGTGTTTGTGCAGACTAACTCGCATACAGATTACCACGAAGAAGTCGCCCTCCTTATTTATTAACTCGGAAGGGCAATTACCTATTATTACTCTGGACTCCAACGCGATGGATAACTATGGATGGCCATAAAAAGTCTGAAGTCGAGGCGAGGCTTATCTGTTTTATCTTGGTAAACAAAACAGTTCAAACTGGCTTTTTATTTAGCGACTGTACCCTCTAAAATATCCAAGCCCCTACTTTAGTTTTTTTGTTTGTTTTTTCACTGGAATACCGTGAAATTCTGTTGAAGCTATTATCTAACGTAAGCTGTTGATTCAGGGCTGACCCTGAAGCACCAAGGCCTCTCCACAAACATTGAACACGAACTGCGGGGAAACCACTGCGTTTCTCTGTGCTGTCAGAGGGCTTCGGGGGCGTTCGTCTCCTTTCAAGACGAACGACGTCTCCCCTTTAAAATATCGGGGCATCCCCTCTGCTTGAGGCTGGGAGCAGACCAGGAGTTGTGTTCACAAGGTTTACCTGCCAATATTGAAATATCCTGACAAGACACGTTGATGAAGTGCAGGTTTCAGCAGTCCCCCCTCCCACCCCCCCTTGTTGTGGACTCTGTTTTAAGGCGGGTAGGATGTTAAAGAATTTATTCAAGAATCTTGCAGAGGTGACAACACTCTGAATTTTATGTGATGAGACATCACTTTCATTTTTACGACTTCACTTCTATCTTGTTGGCTGTGACTGTACTTCTGTTGGGCCTGGTATTTTTTTGCTCCTTTTTCGACATGTATTATTATTAATAGGTGTTTTGTTTGTTGTTGTTGTTTGTTGTGTTTTTTGCCTTCTGGTAATCTTACGTTAAGGAGGACTGTACTTTTGTTCAAAGCGAGGACCTGAAACAGAAAGAGTAACACTGCGCTCACGTGGTATCTATTTGCCGCTCTATAATTACGTTTCAGTGTTCAGATAGTGATTGGTTTATTACTTGTTTTTATCTTCTTCTTTTATCCAAACAAACGTGGTGGATTATTTGTTGTTACCGCATGTCAGAAAAGCTTTAAAGGGCTATCCCAAGAGTTATATTGTATATATCGCTACAACCTTTATTAGTTCTTTTAATTTTTAACCATATTCTTGCCTTTTTTTCCCCTCTTCTTTTTTTCTCCAGGTATTACATAATATAGTTTTATTTTTCATCTGGGCCTCAGTTGGGCACCAACAAGAAGAGTTTGCACAATTGACATCAGCTTGTCTGCAGCCCCCTACCCGTGCAGGCTGTCTTCTGCCCCAGCATGAATGAAGTCAGTGTTGTTCGAGAAGGATGGCTCCACAAGAGAGGTAGATGGCACTTAGTTTTGTAATCACCCAAGTCGTAATTCTCTCACTCTCAGTTCTTGGCTTAAGATAATGGGGTTACAGGGCTATCCCAATTAGAGCTCAACACACTGAAAAACAAACTCTCTGACCCGGTATTGTCTCCAGGTGAGTACATCAAAACATGGCGCCCTCGCTACTTCATCTTAAAGAGCGACGGCTCCTTTATCGGATACAAGGAGAAGCCCGAGGTGTCCAGCGACCACAGCCTCCCGCCCCTCAACAACTTCTCCGTGGCAGGTAGGCCGCGCCTCTTGGTTTAAAAAACATTATGGTCTCTCTGCTCCGTTCCCCCAGTTTTCACCTGGTTTTGGTCCTTTTCTCGCAGAATGCCAGCTGATGAAAACGGAGCGTCCCAGGCCCAACACGTTTGTCATTCGCTGTCTGCAGTGGACCACGGTCATCGAGCGGACCTTCCACGTGGAAAGCATCGCGGAGAGGTAGTGGCGTCTGACATTTCAAATCCACCTCACACGAGAACATTGCTCTAAAAATCGTCAGGGACTCTGTCTGTCTACACCAAAGCCACAGGGACATAAACATCGGTAGGGATGGTATAGAAAGCCATAGTCTGCTGAGTCACAGCTAAACCCCCCCATTTCCTCGTCCCCCCATTATGACTGACAGCTTGGTGAGCAAACTGCTCGCAGACGTATGTTTTCCTCTACTTTGGGCCGATGTGAGCTTGGTCAGTGTCTGCGTTCACTGGGGCGGGCTGTCGCAAAACAGCCTGTTTTTAGATGCCACTAACTCGGCGTGGACATAAAGTCTGAGGATTTTAGCTAAGTGGGTGAGAATCTTTACAACACAAATATTGACAATGTCATTAGGGTGTAGGGTGTTTTCCTTGGAAAACGAGGAAAGACGGACACAAGGTACAAACTGTAACGCGGTTGGCTTAAAGGGCCCATTGTTCTCTCAATAAAGTGGAAACCATTTGGTTCACAAGAGCAGGAACAGCCATCATGCTCCAAATAGGATTCAGTGCCCGATTAGTCCTGATTATTCACCCTTAACTCAAGCAACCATCTTTGAGTTTTGTTTATATCTGCTCTGCCAAATCCTAAATCCCAGAAGCGCCCCCGCTGAATACTACAGATTATCCGCTAGCCTCTAAACTTACCCAGCAAGGCTACCAGCTTCTCTTAAACATATATCTTCTGCAATATCTAGTTGTAAGAAAAAAAGGGGAGAGGGGGAGACAGGTGGTTACATTTCATAGCTAAAAAGAGAAACATATTCCATTTTAAGTTATAATGAATTCTGAGTCATTTAGCGATGGCATTAGATTTGATAAAGGTCAGGGTGTGCTTTCTTCTGGGTCAGGGAGGAGTGGATGCGATCGATCCAGGCAGTCACGAATAGCCTGAAGAGTCAGCAGGACGAGGAACCCATGGAGATCAAATTTGGCTCTCCGAGTGACAGCAGTTGCACAGAGGAGATGGAGATTGCCGTGTCCAAATCCCATACAAAAGTGGTTAGTATTTGCACAAGCAATGCCTGGCAGCCGAGTGTGTGCCATGTTTGTCCAGCTAAGCTCATCTTTATTGAGCAAGTTGTTCAAACTTTAAGCCTCTTTCTCAAAGCTTTTCCTGTCTTTTTTTTTTTTTTGGTGAAGCAACCTTAAATTGAAAGAAGGGCAACATTTTTATAAATGCTTTGCTTTTTTCTTTCTTCAGCTGAGAAGCTTCTTGTGATTTCTGATAATTTGTTTTATTCCTTATTTCTTTGAGCAGGATAACTCAATTCTTTTATTCACATGTACATCTGTATACGCTCATCCTGCATCAGAATATATTTTAAAGTTGAACAACTTTAGAGAAAGGAATTGAATCTTTGTCTCCTAACCTTTGACCTCTGCCCCTTGCAGACCATGAATGATTTTGACTACCTGAAGCTGCTGGGCAAAGGGACATTTGGCAAAGTGATCCTGGTGAAGGAGAAGGCCACAGGGATGTACTATGCCATGAAAATCCTCCGCAAAGAAGTCATCATTGCTAAAGTCAGTGCAATAAAATCACATTTAAAGCCTCCCCATTAAAGTGTTTTGTAAAATTATGACTAGTTTCATATTAGCACTTGCTAAGTGTGTGTATATGTGTGTGTGTGCTTACAGGATGAGGTTGCACACACAGTTACAGAGAGCAGAGTGCTCCAAAACACACGGCATCCATTTCTAACGGTAGGTCACCCTTTCAATTTCTTCCTTTTTTCTCTTTTTTTAATTGGATTTTAAAGACCATTTGACCCGATCATGCAATCACACTTTTCTTTTTCT